TTTAACCAAATTTGGTTTCGGTTATTGCCGTTTCTGTGCTTACTAATTGCCATCTGCCAGAGATCAGGCGAGTGCAGCATCGCCAGCATCTGGTGAAACTCGGGGATAACCAAAATGTAAGGCCACTTCGAGCCTTCTTCAATTTCCAAATGCTAATTAAATATGCTACGCCAATTCGAACATTTTATGTATCAGATAAAACTATTGCTAAATCGAAACGTCATAAATTTCACTTAACTGCCTTACCGGAAAAGCAGGCCATTATCAAAACAGTTCGTATTCAAATTTGGCAATAGTATATTTCATTTGTTTTCTTCTTGCTCTTTGTGGCGCGCTCAAAATTCAAATGACGTACAAACAAAAAATCGAATATATATATGAAGGTATAATACAAACCAAATGTATACCGCCTAACTAAGAAATCGCTCCAAACCGTCAACGCTCGAAGAAAGTGAAATTTTTTGTGTTTTGTTTTATTATTTTCATGTCTCCCAACCGGTAACGAATCAACAAAAGCAGCAGCGGAACTTTTTTTCCATGGTTTGTAATACTGTTTTATACCCTGAACCCATTGAAAATTTATAAAGGGTATATTGTTTTACTAATGAGGGATGTATTAACATTTAACATGAGGGAATACAATAAATATCTAAAATCTTAATCAGAATCAAAAGCTCTGCCTATCTATCGATCTGGCTGAACTTTAATACTTGAGACTATGAAAAAACCTATATTTTTCCCTTCGCAGTTAAATGAATTGATTTTTTCACATCTCTCATAAATGATCGAATAAGTATAGGGTTACATAACCAAAAGAGAAATGTGGTATTACCTTATATTTAAACAGATTATAAATATATAATTTAGTAATCCATTTCTATCCAAATTGAAAAGAATTCCCATTTTTAATAAGGGACTAAGATTGATTAATCTCGAACACCCGAATCTCAAATTATTCAATAATTAATTACAAATTTGGAAAGAACAAGAGCAACTCCTTTAAGTACACATTCATGTATATACATGTAGATATCTTAGCTCAACACTCCAAATATCTTCTATTTGATCATTCCTGACTAAAATAATTTTACTTGTCTGATAAAAAAAAAAAAAATGAATTCTATACTTATATATATTTAACAAACAATGAAATCTATACCGTATCAAATATATATCAATTACAAATATATATCAATTACGTCGATATTTCTGGTTACACGTTCATGGATATTTACCTTTATTAGTTTTGAAATTTGCAATCCCTTATCCATTTTTGTAATATCCATTAATTACCTTCACTCTGTGTCACACACACACTGACACACACAGTATTGCGGCTTGTAGAAATTTCTTTAAAGGATTTTCACAATGATTCTACACTTGCCTTGGTTTTTTGGGGCCTGGGCCCAATAGGTTCGCGCTTTGGTTCTATCGCCAGTGTGAAGAGTCACAGGATATTGACACACGTACTCGTATATAGCTTTCGATTCGGCTTGAGGCTTCTGTGAACATTATTGACACTCGTAATATTCATAATAACTGAAATAGCTATTTTCAGTGCACACTCGTATTCAATTTTGCTTCGATTCAGCTTTCAGCGACTTTTTTAGCAATCTGGCCCGATGGATTAACAGGCGCGCATAAACCACAAGAGCGCTGTCGGAGCTGAAGCTTGAAAGCAAATCACGTTTACACGCTTCGCACTCACGTTTGCAACTGCGTCAAGAGCTAAGGCGAAAGAGCCATCGCAAAGCGGAGTCGGCAAATGACGACGGCGGCAGCGCAGCGACGGCGACGGCGACGGTGACAGCGGCAGTGCCGACCCCGCCAACCCGTAAAATCGGAACCCGACTCACGACAGAGCCAGAAAGACGGCCAAACCGCGACGCAAGCGAAAACGCTTTCTATACCCTTCGTGTATCAGCAAGAAATGGGTATGATAAGCACGAAACGAAGAGTTTAAATTATTAGCAACTATTGTTATTTACTCAAAATTGATATACAAATTAAGCAAGAACACAATGGCCGTTGTACAAGTTATGTTTTTCACTTTGTAGAGCCTCAGGGTACATTTAACTATTCCAGGGTGTCACCCAGCTGGTCCCATTGATCACCATTGTTGTTATTTTTACAGCTTTTTATGGTTGTTTTTTGCGATTGCAGGAAAACTTTTTCTTATTTATTATTCGAAACGTTAGCGTCGGGCGGGCGCAGCAAAACACAACAAACATTGAAAAACAAGCGAGCGCAGCAGCAGCAACGACAGCAACAGCAGCAGCGCAAAAAAGAAAAAAGAAATGAAAAACAACAAAATAACAACAACAAACCACAGGCACACAAAGAGCCACACGCAATGACAAAGCTACGACACGACGAGAGAGCAAAGCGCAAACCCCGAAGATACACAGATGGTCGACTCCGAAACGAAACGAAGGCACGACCGACCGACCGACCGACCGACCGACCAACGATTGCTACTGCGCCTCACGCCGGCTTTGCTGTTATTGTTGCTGTTCTTTTCAAGTGTTGGTGGTACTCGTGCTGGCGTGCTGGCGCTGGAGCTGGTGCCGAGTTTTGCCGAGCAGCGAAGACGATGACGCCGCTTAGTAGGTCAGTAGCAGTGTTGCCAGATTAGCTATTTAATAGCATTTTTAGCTATTTTTGAACCCTAAAAGCTATGAAAATTTTGAAAATGCTATTAGCTATAAATTTAGCTATTTTACAAACGAATATTTTGAATTTGATTTTAGTATTTAAAGCCAAAAAAAAAAAAGCAGAAATTTCGTGATTCCTGGAAAACAATCACCGAATTTAAGAATTGGATTAAGGAGGATGAGTCAGACAACAGGCGGGCGTATTGTATATACTGCAAATGCAGTGTTTTTGCCAAACTGCACGATATTAAAATGCATGCCGCGACAAAAAAACATAAAACTGCGGTTGGCGCCTTTGGGCAAAAAATTTAAACATTTTCCATGATTCCATTTAAACATGATTCCAGTTAATCAAAAATATAATTCTGATGATGATTTGGATGTGGACCAAATTGTAACATTATTAAATAACATTTAAAAATAAAAGGTTTCAGCTATTTTGTAAGCTATTTTAAAATTTGTTTAGCTATTTTCAGCTATTTTTTAGAGACGATTTTGCTATTTTTATGTCTCAAAACCTGGCAACACTGGTCAGTAGTGGCCTTTAACTTTGTTGTTGCTGGAGCTGGTGGTGCTGTTGCTGCTGCCGCTTGTTTCTGCTTCTGTTGTTGTAGTTGCTGTTGATATTGTTATTGCTATATTTTGTTGCATTGCGTGTTTGTCACTAATCAAACACAAAGCCTGCCGGTCTAACAGCTGCTAAAAACTATTAATGCTCTTTGTTGTTTTAAGATATTCACATGCTCTGCAGTGAAAATAATTTTATTCAAGCAAGTTGCGTGCAGATCTAATGTGCACGCCGGCGAGAGCCATCTTCGATTATCGTGTCTCAGTAAAACGTAAATTAATGTGATACACACTAAGATATAATCTATTATATATGATACTCAATTTTAATATTGATTTACATTAGCTAACATTGCGATGAGGGATCACGAAATTCGCATTAATACGCATTGCAAAAGGGAGAGATAGAGTGAGACAGATAGAGAAAAAGAAAGATAGTAAATTAGAGTAAAAGTTCGACAAGAAATTATATTTGTTAATCTTAAGACTGATTGAAACAACGATAAAGAAAGAGAGAGGATAGGAGAGAGCGAGAGTGACAGATTGGCAATTAGATTAACAGGAAAAAGCACAACTTCTTTGGCTAATCTTAATTCAGTTAGCAATAAAATCACAGGAATAATAAAAATTATTTAACTATCATATATTGACTTATCGTTACATATATATCATTAGCATTTGTTATTAATAGACTCCCATAAGCGAACATAAAGGGTAACTCACCGTTGAGCTTAATAATTGTGTTTATATGTTTCTCTTCACACAATGATTTCACATTTACTTCACTCACGCACACACACACTCAGGCACGCACCTTCAGCGTGTATATGCGAATGTGTGCATTTGTGTGTACCCACACTTCATTATATTTGGAGTAAAGTGAAAGTGTAGAAATAAAGACACGGCTAAGCCACCTTTCAAAAGCATAATCAACAAAATATAAAAAAGTATTTTCTTCTTTAGTGTTGCAACGAGATAAGAAATAGAATATTCGGCGCAAAGTATTGAAAGTCCTGTTTAATAGTGTTTACATTAGACCTTATCCGTTTTATCGAGTTTCGGCAACTTAACCGCTGGAGTGGTTATAATTTACGATTACAGCAACATTAACGTCTCCTTTACTACACACATATGTATGTACGTGGCGACGCACGACGCCAAAATGTCTGAGGCAAAGCTAATTCTGATTCTGGTTCTGACGAGATGAAAGTGCGCGACTGACTGGTTGGTTTGCTTCCCATGCAACTACAACTCAGTTCATTAGCGTCATCGTTGCGACGTTGTACTTACGAGATGCAGTGAGACGCAGACGGCATAGACGGCGTGGACGGCGTTGACGGTGTAGACTGTCTAACATACAGATTATGTTTTAAAATTTCAGCAAATAGACAAATAAATGTTCTACTTTCACCAATGCATCAATGGTGCAGCAGACGCACGATAAACTTTAAAGAGAAATTTTTCCAACATAGAACACACACGCGAGCTGTCATTGCAGGCGAAACATAATAATATTTAATAGTTATTAGTTATTTTGACTGAATGCCTATGTGAATTAAAAACACGAATTGTTATTGAATTCTAAACTGCCGTTAACAATTTAAATATGTGTGCTATAGCAGAAAGTTATTGGCTGTCTAGAAAAAGGTATAATTATATATCGTTTAGCTTTTGTTGTTGACTCGACATGGTATATCGACTAGCTTTTGTCATGCAAAGTAAAATTATATCGATAGTTTGCGGCTATTCTTGTTATCAGGTGACTTATCGATATTAAATTGTACACAATAATAGAAATAAATAGTGAAACAATTTGATTTACAATGGAATTTACAGAAAGTATGGACTTGGAAAATGAACGAGTATTAAAATTAATATTCCCAAATGGAATCCCAGGTGAGCACTTGAAATTTATCAAAATACACACACCCCACATAGCTTGGTCTATTCACATTTTCAAGATAATCTGCGTGGCAATCCGGAGCTGGATAAATATTTGGCCAAATTGGGCACCTGCAAGGTGGAACAACTGAAGAAGGAGCAAACGCGGCTGGCCGACGAGACGAAGCGCATATTGGAGCAAACCCAAGAGCTGGCCATATCCAATTACAAAACATTCATCACAACAGCCGAGAACTCTCGTTCAATATTCAATGAATTTAAAAAGGCCGAGGATCAGGTGGATACCCTGATTGGCAAATTGCCTGCCTTCAGCGCCAAGTGTGAGGAATTTCTGGCCGAATCTGCTGAACTGACCGAGCAGCGGCGTCTCAACAGCATAACACTGCACAAAAATGCTCAACTGCTGGAGATACTCGAGCTGCCGCAGCTAATGGAACGTTGCATACGCGAAGGTCGCTATGAAGAGGCGCTAGAGCTGGCTAGCTACGTCCAGCGTTTGGGCCAGCATCAAGGTCATCTTATACCCGTTGTCAATGTTAGTAAGAGCAGAGAGGCATTTCTGCTTCCCTTGAGCAGCGTATCTATTAGTCCAATATGTCCAACAAGATCATTCTAACCAATGTTATCTTCTTTTCAGAGTATTGTGCGCTCAGTCGAGGCTTTGTGGCATACGATGCTGGCGCAGCTAGTGGCACAGCTGCGCCTGGATCTGCAGCTACCCAAATGCTTGCAAATTGTGGGGTATTTGCGACGCATGCAGGCGTTTGGCGACAATGAGTTGAAATTGAAGTTTTTGCAGGCGCGCGACGCTTGGTTGACATCGTGTTTGGAGGCTATACCAAAAGCAGACGGTATGCTAGAGTAATTCACCAATTAAAGACCGTTATAAAGATATTCAAGTATAATCTTATAGCTCAGCATCACTTGACAAAGACCATCGAAATAACGCGCATCAATCTGTTCAACATTATAACGCAATATCGCGCAATTTTTCCGGAGGCGGAGCACGGCAACAAGTCGACCCCATTGAAGCAGCTGCAGGGAGTCACCTGCGATGGCAACAGACTCTTTGAGGCCTGGCTGCATAATAAGGTAAGCTGATTTGTTTTACAAATATATTTATAAATTTACATAAACTTGTTTTAGATAAATACATTCCTGCTAACACTTGAGGAGGATCTGGAACGTGGCGTCAGCTCGATTGAAACAGTTCTGGGGCAATGCATGTATTTCGGGCTGTCCTTCAGTCGTGTGGGTGCAGATTTTCGAGCACTGATTGCGCCCATTTTCGTGCGCGTGGTGCGCAACAAGTTCGAGTCGAGCATTATGCAAGTGAATGAGAACTTTGAGAAGGAGCTGGACAAGTTCACGCTGATCAACAAAGTGAGCCTGCACACGCGCAAGCAACTCGATACGTCTGCCTTGTCTGGCAGCGAACGAGATGTGGAATCGTATGCGCCGCCCGAGACATTGCTCGACTTTTATCCACTTGCGGTGCTGTGCAACGGGTATCTGAATGCCCTCAATGAGCTGCGCCTGTGTGCGCCCTTTGCCGTTGCCACCGATGTCACCTGTTGCCTGCAGAGCTCGCTGCAAATGGTGGCGCAACGCGTGCTCGCCTTCTACCGCCAGGAGCAGCAGGCCTTTACGCCCAACGAGCGCGAGACGTTTGCCAAACTCTGCTCCTGCTTCGCCTACGACCTGGTGCCCTATGTGCAGCGCTGCATCCACGGTGTCTTCCCACCCCAGTCCATAACGGTGCACCTTGGCATAAGCCTGCTGCAGCTGGAGCAGCAGCAGCTGACGTTCTTGCTGCAGCCTCAGATACTGGAACCCCTGAAGCACCTGCTGCCCAGCAAAGTTCTAATTCATCCCACTGCTGCATTGGCTACTACAGAGCCTACGCCAATTGCTACAGAGGGCTAAACCATGCCCAAATCTTTATTTATGTAGATCATCTAACTTTTAAATTTATAAACCCTTGTGTGAGCCCTTGGCTTCATTCCCAAAAAATGTTTGCGGCTGTAATTTATTCCAATCAAATTGAGGGATGCAATAATTTACATTATGATTTATCATTAACTGTTTATAAAATAATACGTACATATATACATATATTAAAGCTATTATGAAATCAATTTCTTTTATACTTGTTCAGAGTATATTCATTTTTTACAATGCTCACTTTTCCGCCCGTCCTGCACGATTGTCCGTTATATTGCAAACTATTTCATCGTTATTGAAAATTAGAGGTTTGGATTATATTATATATACCATATAAATATATAGCAATATATAATATATAACACATAGATATACTATATAGGTTCTGGTGAAATTTCGAATATATACTGGCTATGAAAACCTTACTTTCAAAACATATATTGGCTAGGTTTACTTTCCAAGATTTCGAAGCCAGAGAATTAGAAACTCAATTGTTGGTAGACCATGGCTTATTTTTGTATCATCAGACACCTGCTAAGGATTATCCGAAAATAATAGATTCCCACTTATGTATTGGGGAACTGGGAAACCTTGAGAATATGTTTTTTTTTTTTTTTTTAATTTAAAGACTAAGTCACGCTTAAGCTTATCTATTGACTTGGATTATTTAAGGAATATTTTATATTTAAATCTAGTCCTATCAATTATATAGTCTTATCAATGAGTCGGTTACCATAATATTCTTGCTTAATATTGGGTAATCTTATTGAAGTAATTAAAAATATAGATCAACTGATGAATTTTAAGTAGAGCTCAGTTGGAATGTCTACAGCAGTCGATTACGATGCTAATTTCTAGTTGGTCTTGGTTTTCTCTCAATCGAACGTAAACGCAATGAAACGAGTTGCGAATTTTAGTTGGGATATGTGTGTGAGGCCTGCGAGAGTGGAATAATATTTTGATGCCACCTCCTGCACAATCAGAGAGTGGGCCGCCAAATCCGAGAGGGGGACTGGGCAGTGGGACTGGCAGTGGTGTAGCTGCGTAGGTGGTGCGTGAAGCGCCGACATGGCCGTTCATGGCAGATTGAGTGCGGTTAGGCGACCGGGAAACGTTTATAAGCAAATTTCGCGTACAATGACTAAATTTGGAGAAAGCCGTGCGAGTATTTTTCTTTGTTGTTGCTCTCGGCCGAATCTGCATCCGAATGCGATTGCGATGGCGATGGCGATGGCGAATGCGAATGCGTATGCGAATGCACTGTGCTGAAAATTGGAAAACATGGCAACTGAATGCAGGCACATGGACGCTCATGCGGATGCGGATGCGGATGGGGATGTGGATGTGGAAATGAACACGGCTGCGGCTTATCGTTGAACGTCAGAGGCCGGACGAATGGACGGTTTGACGACCACGGCCTTTGTGGGTGAACGGACGTTTCTGTATTTTTAAGTCCACCACTAAATACAAACGAAAGCACTCAAGCACAAGTTGGTCACGATTGGGCAACCGGGTAACGGGCAACAGACAACGGACAGCGGACAGCGGACAGCGGACCGTGGACAGCGGACAATGGACAACAGAGAGTGCCACCTTTTAGGCTGGAACAAAAAGCGGCCTACTGCCAGCTGCCCGGCTCCTGCTGCCTGCTGCCTGCTGCACGGCTCCTGCTGCCTGCTGCAAATGGAAGTTGCGATTTTGATTGCGAATCGAAATAGATTTTGTGGTATTTGCAAAGCAGTGCCAACCAGCTGGCGATTGTGTGAGTGTTTCGAATGGATGGATGGATGGGTGGGYGCCCTGTGGGTGGGGCTCATTTGTTACATTTGGCGCTGCAACCACGTACAACATTGCGTATACGCGTTTTTGTTCATTTATTGATTGATTGAATTGAATGCACAGCAGGGTGTACAGGGGTGTATGAGCGGCTGGGGGCGGGGGCTGGGCATTTGGGATAGAGTTGAATGTTTCTTTTACACGCTTGCTCGCTTCGTTTTGAAAAGCGTTCGTTTATTTTGCAATTTGTGTGGCCGCGTCTCTTAGTTTTTGGCTACGGCAATTCCATTCAGGTTGATTTTCGCACAAAAAAAAAAAAAAAAAAAAAAAAACATAAATAAAGAAAGGAAAAGCAGTAGCAAAAGCAAAAGAAAAAGCAAGTTCTATAGTGGTTTACTCCTCTGGCCATATTCGCATATGAGATGAAATTGTTTTTGCTATCGCAGCTAGAAATTAAATTTAGTACTTAGCGCACCTTGAGTGGCAACGGCACTTCGGGGCTTTTCATTTGCGTCTATTCAATTTGGCCACGTTTGCCTATTCGGTATGCAAAAATTATTACCGCAACGCATGGGAATCTTCGAGGGCGATGACGACGTTTGGGTCTGCTCAACGAGTTGGAAAACACCCAGGGATTTCGATTTCAATAGGGCTCTCTCAGCTCCTTTTGGCGGAACCTCGCTGCGTGCGTATGTAAATTCGCATACAAATCACTCGCGTGCTCGCCAAATGCCCTTAGGGGAATCCTTTAGTTATCCTTTAGCGATTTTTCAAATAAACACGAAACATACACGGGTTCCATCTCCTCCTACACCTCCTCCGCCCCTTCTTTCTGTTTATTGCCTGCGGCAAAGGAAACTTTGACGCGCTTCTTGTCAGGGCGCAGGGCCATCAAGCATCTGATTTGCTCAAACTCAGTTTGGGTTTCGCTGGAAATTGATAAATTTAGTTATTTTTTCTGTTTCGCTTTTTTCTTTTCGGCATATCTGTCACTGATTTGGGTTTATTGTCGTTGTCAGCTGATATTACGACAATGCCAATCAGCGCCCCCAGGACATTCAATGCGACCATGATATGGCTAAGCAATCCTATAGATTTTGATTTGTTAAATAACGATGAATATTATATATTTGAAATCAGTTTTATAAGCAATTGGAATATAATTATAGATTTGGCATAAAACTAAATTTTTTTTAAGTAACTGTCTTCATTTCATTTTACCCTAGAGCCATTGAATTCTCAAGTGGTTGGTCTACTTGGTAATTATCTTGAAATCGAATCAATTGTAGTGATATGCAAGAGCTATTAGATTCACGATTTGACAATATTATTATTATTATTACTATAATTATCATTATCTTTATCATTATTAAAATATTAATAAT